GGGTCGGGCATTGCTGGGATACTCACCACAGTGGCATACGATCGGTTTTGTTTTAAATACTTATTCTTCTTCTCTTCCATCTTTTGTTGCTTCACTGGACAGTCCCTAGAGATGGCCAAGTGACCACCTTGACAGTTGATGCACACAATTTTTTCGACGTCGCATTTGTAGGAGTGTTGTCCGGAGCACGAAGAACATATTTGAGAACCTAGGCAGACTTTCGCAGAGTGATTAAACTTCAGGCATTTGTAGCACTGTAGTAATGGAGGGATGTATATGTGGACCGGGTATCTGAACATCTGTATGTAGGCGTGCTGCGGCAGCGCTGTTGCAGTGAAGGTCACTGCAATGGTCCCCAGCGGAGTGAGCTTTCCATCTACTTTTCTCATAAATCTCTTGACGGAGATGACTTCTGCATCGCAGGTAATGCTTTTGTATATGTCTTCATTGCTTAAGTCTTTAGGTACGTATCTTATGACTCCAGTAATTTCAGTGAGGTGCGCAGGCACGAACGCTTTTAATTTGTGTTTTCCCAGAAAGTGTGTCATGATAAGGAAGTTATTGGCCGGTGCTGGTTTTCTGAACGTTAAGCCCACTTTATATGCGTTCACTCTGTGGACACTATTCCTTTTACATTTTCCGTAAATAACTTTGTAAGTGCTATTGGATTTTTGTTACCAATTTTTTCGTTTTCTTGTGATTCAACGTAGACTACGCAGTCTACGCTGTGCTTTTCTGGGAATTGTGTAATTTGTTTTTGTGAAAATTTTGTAGTCGACGGCATTTCCTTTGCGAGTATCGGGCAATTTCCTTTTCTTTGATTTTTGCTCGGCGGGGGTCGGGCCCCCGTCGGAATCTGGATCCATTGTATTTACACTATATATAGGTATGTACTAATTAACTATTTACACGGAAATTTACAAAATATATACAAAATAAAATGAAATGAAAATTCAGCAAGAATTAAAACACCCGCTTAGCTTGACTGCCCGCCAGAAACTCGCCGGTGCGTAGGCAAGCGCAGTGTTGCCAGATGCCTTGAACCTTTTATCTGTATTAGAAACTGCTAAAATCTGTATTAAATCTGTATGCTATTTAAACTTAAAATCTGTATAATATAATAAACCAAAATAGAATAATTGATCATCATCATCATTGCTTCTTTTGTAAAACAAGGAATAACTACTAACGTGATAAGCTAATAAGGTTTGAATATCGTTATAAAAAAATTTATAGAATAAGGGTGACACAAGAGCAGACAGTACACCGATGGTAAGTGGATGCTGTGGACCATAGACATCTACATTTATCCTCGCTTAAGACTCAAAACGCAGATGCGTTGTCACGCCTGAGGACTAAGATGGAATGATTCGTTTCCAATAAAAAAGGGTCTCCGGATTTCTACACTCACCATACGAAGCACAGCAGTATTAAGCTGGTATTTTACGCTTGTATTCTGTGAGAGCGTGGTCCTTCCCCGGTCGAGCTGACTTATTGCGCGTGGCTCTACCAAGTATAAAATATGCACTAAAATTTTTATATAGCAAAATTGAACACATTAATTTAAGCAAACAACGTATTAAAACTCAAGCATTTGCAACAAACGAACATATAATTAATTTATTATTTTCAGTCATACATATTTTATATATATTAAGGCTCGTCTCTGCTTTCAAACCTGGGTTTGGGCAGGACGGCCGACATGTGGAGCTCTGTATGAGGATATGCGAGACTCGCGCAGGGCTTTTAAGAGCAAGCTTAAGTGGTGCCAAGACAATGCGGAACAAATCAAGATGGACATATTGGCAATGTCATGTGAGGTGAAGAAATTCGGAGAGTTCTGGCAGCAAACGAAAGGCCTGAACGCTCGGGTGCCTCTTCCAGCAGAAGTGGGTGGCATAACTGGAAGTGAAAACATTGCCAATATGTTCAAGGCTCAGTTCAAAGTGGATCCTAGCAAGATAGTTTGTAGCTTGGACGACGGTGAGGACATCGTGAACTCGGGGATTAGCCCCTTGCGTTTCACTTTCAAGGAAGTGAATGATGCAATTAGAAACATGAAACGTGGTAAGTCGCCGGGACACGATGGCCTCAGCGTTGAACATTTGAGATATGCGGGTGTGCACATTGCCAGAGTCCTCAGGCTACTGTACAATCTTTGTGTAAGCCACAGTTATCTTCCAGAGGCTATGATGAGAACAGTGGTAGTGCCTATTATTAAAAACAGGACGGGTGATGCGGCGGACAGATCCAATTATAGGCCGATATCCTTGGCAACAATAACAGCTAAAGTCCTCGACAGTCTGCTTGACGCGCAGTTACGTAAATCTTTTCAAGAGCACGATGCGCAGTTTGGTTTTAGACCGGAACTTTCAACAGAGAGCGCAATACTGTGCCTCAAGCAGACTGTGCGGTATTACACTGATAGAAAAACACCGGTATATGCTTGCTTTTTGGATCTGTCTAAAGCGTTTGATCGAGTGCTATACAAAATCTTGTGGCAAAAAGCTTAGGAACGAAACCAGTTTAAAGCCTGAGCTAATCGCTTTGTTCGAGTATTGGTATGGTAACCAGAAAAATGTGGTGAGATGGGATGATGCGTTGAGCGAAGATTATAGCCTGGGGTGTGGAGTACGGCAGGGAGGGCTGACGTCATCTAGGCCGTTCAATTTGTATGTAAATCAACTGATTGTGAGCCTCAGTAGAGCTGGTGTCGGTTGTTCGGTAGATGGAGTCAGTATAAACAACATTAGTTATGCTGACGACATGGTTCTGTTGAGCCCCTCAATCAGTGGTCTTAGGCGATTAATACAAATTTGTGAAGGGTATGCTGAGGTACATGGACTCAGTTACAACTCCAATAAAAGTGAGTTTCTTGTGTTCAAGGGGAAAAATAAGCTACCCATATTGAAACCCACCTTTCAACTATGTGGGTGTCCCCTTGAACAGGTTACTGAGTTCAGGTACCTTGGCCATATAGTAACCGACAGCCTGGAGGATGACAGCGACATTCAACGCGAGCGCCGGGCGCTGGCGGTGAGAGGCAACATGTTGGCCCGCAGATTTGCACGGTGTACAAAGCAGGTTAAGATAACGTTGTTTAAAGCTTACTGCCAATCGTTCTACACGTGCAGTCTGTGGACGGGCTATTCGCAGCGGACCTACGGCGCCCTGAGAGTGCAATACAACAATGTGCTGAGGGCGGTGTTGAGGAAGCCGCGAAACTGCAGTGCGTCGGCAATGTTTGCGGACAGTCGTGTGGATGACTTCTACGCGATTGTGCGAAAGCGTGCCGCGTCCATGATGAGCAGGCTTGTGAGAAGCACTAACACCCTCCTCAGCGCGTTGGCCTCTAAGCTAGACAGCCCTCTCTGGAGGAGCTGGAATGATGTGCACACCGGCACTAGGCCTCAGCGCCCACGCTGGTGCTGAATAGGTTAAGGTAGATTAAGGACTAACATAGCATAAGTAATAGTCACTAACACATTTTGTATTAACATAGTTACATAAATTAATTGTTTACTAACACATTTTTATATGGACTATTGGTCTGAAATAAAAATATATTATTATTTATTATTATATATACATATTATATAATACGCTTGTAATTCTGCCGTACTAACTAATTACGTTGTGAAAAAATAAATTAACCATAAAGAATAGAATCATGCAATGATGTGTGTAACGCGGTATCTAGTCACTTATTTTGCTTCGTTCTGTTTTAAGTTGAATATTATGGTAACCCAATCAATAGAGTTAGAAAACTCCGTATAAAAATCTGTATCCAGTGCTAATCTGTATCACATACCGAAAATCTGTATAAATACGGGGAAATCTGTATATATGGCAACACTGGGCAAGCGCAACATGCGGACGGCTGAAAAATTGCAGTCGGCTTCCAAGGGTGTGTCAAGATGGACGTGCAGTAGATAATCACGCTAACTGTGCTTGTGTATTTACTACGAAAACGAAAACGGAAGATTTCACGTAAAAGACAGTTTTGAGTGCATCCATTACTTTGCGAGAGAAAGACTAAAGGATTATATTATACTTATTTTTTGGATTTGAAAATGTATGAGAAGAGATTCTTTAATTACATGAGAATGTCAACGAATACTTTTAACCTGTTACTGGATACAATAAAACCAAAAATTACTGGAACTGGTAACAACTATCGGAAATGCATTACAGCAGAAGAAAAATTAGTGATAACAATACGGTAAGCTTTTTCTTTTTTAAAAACAGAATGTTTAAAAAATACGTGATTTATTTTAAAGGGTGTTTCGGAATGGAGTATTGTGTACAGGGAAAATAAAAATAATGTGATAGGGCCTTTTTTTACTTAAATTGCTTAATGGATTTTTTTTGTAAATTTGAATTATACAAGACTCGATTCTGAATCAACACTATTGTGTTTTTCACAACAACCTGTATAATTCATTGACCATGGTTTTGCCACTTTAAATAATTTATGAACAATACTACTTTACGACTTTGAAAAGGAGAGGAAAAGGGCTTGCTTATAACTATGTTTTTAAATAATAAAAAACTGAAGTAGATAATCAAATTATTTGTATTTTCGTAACTTAAAAAATGGCAATTGTGAACAATTAATCATTCAAATTCGGAAAAAAATCAAATCATTTCTGAATTTTGGGAAATATCAGAATAATGAATATGAGTATATGAGCTGTAATTTGAATCATCTGATATCCTGTTGGTAGTAGAATAACCTGAATAATTCGGTCGATGCGGGTCATATTCTTGGTCGTAAAGAGTATTGAAATTTCTTGAATAGTTTATGCGCGCTGTTGGTTCATAGTTCGATTGATATTTTTCTATAATTTCCATGATTTCCATTTTCGTTTTGGTCTTCATTACAGCAGGGATATTTTGAAATCTGTCGAGGAGGGATAAAAGAAACAGTCTGTCACAATTTGAATCATTCTGTGTATCTGTCTTCCCTATTGTCGCTATGATCTTATACAGAACTGAAATTAAAGGGTCTGTATCGGATTCTTCGTTTGGTATTTTTTCTTCCTTTTTGTTCTAAGCGACTTTGATGCATACTGTTGAGTCTCAAGATCAGAAGATCTTGCATTTTCATTTTCTTGACTTGCCTCTTCAAGACTATTTTCTGTTGCGTTTGTGTCCAGCACTGATCTCAAAAACAGTAATTGGTTGAAATAGGTGTATTGACTTTTACGTTTTGCAGCAGAACCACTTTTGACATCTTTAAGACGGCGCAGCTCTCTTGTGAAACAGACTCTAAGGTTTTTCCATCTGTTTTGGCGAGTCATGCCTGTAAATCAATAAATAAATGTAGTACATATTACAAAACTAATATTATGTTTATTAATGTGAATTTTATTTTCAGGTATTTGGCTACTGGATGTTCTTTATCTCATATAAGTCATGAATACCGTATAGGGCTTCCTACAGCATCGGAAATAGTATTTGATGTTTGTGAAGCAATATGGAAGATATTAAAACCAATTGTGATGCCACAATCGACCAGAGATAAGTGGATTCAAACGGCTGAAGGTTTTAAAAAATACGCCCAATTTCCTAATTGCATCGGAGCCATCGACGGCAAGCACATTAGAGTTATCAAACCACAACATTCGGGATCTCTTTATTACAATTACAAGAATTATTTTTCAATCGTGTTACTTGCAATATGTGATGCAAATTATAAATTTCTTTACGTAGACATTGGAGCATACGGCAAATGCAGTGATTCGTCAATTTACAAAGACTCTGTATTTTATCATAGGCTTTTAAATAATGATCTCGATATTCCGAGCAATACCCCCATCAAAGAAAATGGCCAACCAATGCCGTTCATTTTAGTGGGTGATGAGGCGTTTTCACTATCGGAACATATGATGCGACCGTATGCTGGGAGAAACTTGAATAATGTAAAGACTAATTTTAATTATCGACTATCCCGTGCCCGCCGCTATATTGAATGTACATTTGAAATATTAGCCAATAAATGGCAGATTCTTCACCGACCCCTAAACGTCAAGAAAGAATCTGCAGTTGTGATTATAAAAGCTCTATGTGTGCTTCATAATTATGTGCGAGAAAGAGACGGATATGATTCCAAGGACACGTTGACTGTACCAGAGGCTTTATTAGAAATACCTGCAAGTTTACCTAATAGAGCAAATAGAACATCAACCGAATATCGAAATATATTCGCAAACTACTTCAGTACCGATGGTCGCTTGCCCTGGCACAATTTGTAAATATATGGGTGCGTACCTACGACGGCTGCTCAGTTTGTGCGTTGAGGCACTTGCTCGCCGCGATTGCGCGCCGTAAACAAAATGGCGTCGAACGCACATACGGTATGAGTAATCTTTTTAAAAAGTTATTCCAATCATTACGAAAACCTGGTAAATTTTAGCAAATAATTGTCAAAACTCATGTGCAAAGCGAAAAATAGTAGAAATAAAATAGTTATACTTTTGACAATTACCTATTTGCTAAAATTCTTAGATTTTAAATGAACGGAACAACTTTTTAAAAAAATCACTCATGTTACATATACGTGTCGAACGCTACTACAGCACCTGCTGCGTTTATTGTAGTTCATCGCATTATTAATTTAAGGCATAATAAAATAAAAGACTAACCAAGTTCTGCCTTTTCTTTATCTTCCATGGATTCACCGCCAAATATATTGATCAGTTCAAGCCACAACTGCCGCTTAACATCTTTATTGGAGTAATCATTTGATGATAAATCCCATAAACCTCTTCTATTTTCAACTTCAATTATGAACCTTTCCGTGTCGAAATTATTGGCCATTGTAAAATAATCACTCTGCAGCTATACACGTCTGGTCGCCGCGGCCGATGCGGTAGCACTGATAAATTTTAATACAGAAATGATATTCTCGACGGCCACGATTGGTCGCTGGTCGCGTGGCATCAAATTAGACGCCGCGGCCAACGGTGGCCGCTGGTCGCTTGCCGCTAAATGCGTAGGGGCTATAGCGATGGCCAATAAAGTCCAGAATTCACTGGCCGCCGTGGCCAGGACGCGGCGACCATGGTCGCCAGTTCGTGGCGCTAAAAAGCAGAGGATATTCATTTTTCACACATAGCCAAAAATGTTTTAAATCAGTTTTAGAAAATTTTAATGTGCGATCCGTTTTCATTTCCATCAGTTCTTCCTCCTCATTTATTGGTAAGTGGCCGAAAGGAATGTTCTCGGAGAATGGATTTCGAACCTAGTCCATAGGTTGCAGATCACGCTTAGGGAAATAGAAATTCATTTTCCCTGCAAGAAACTTTAAGTGTTTGACAATCAAAGCCTGCACCCTTTTTTCTGGATCAGCTGCCATGACATTTGGGAACATTTCATTATTACCATTCGTAGCGAGACTGATCCATAGTTCCAATTTAGCGCGAAAGCTTTCAATATTATCCGACGATGTCAAAATATTGGAATTTCTGCCTTGCATTTTTTTATTGAGCTCATTTAAGTGAGCAAATATATCCATCAGATAGGCAAGTTTTGCTAGCCATTCTTCTTTTTTTAAATAAATGTGTATAATCTGAACCCTGGGATTGCAAAAACATCTGAGTCTCATAATGATTTCTTAAATTTACGCGAACACTACACATTGAATAAAACTATTATTTACGGATTTTATCGCGTTTAATTACTTTAATTTATTTTTATATATATTATCTTATATTATATTATATATTATCTTATGGTATGGGTGTATAGAAAAAAGACCCATACCAACCGATATTTAAATGGTGAATATCACCATCATCCTTCACAGTTAGCTACCGTGGGTAAATCTTTGTTTCAGAGAGCACGAGGGATCTGTGACAGAAAACATCTGGCCGCCGAACTTCAGCATGTCAAGCAAGTGTTGCAATACAACAAGCTTCGGATCCCGCGCCTACGTCACAGTGACCGAGTGAAGCCGGCCACGGATGAGCGTGTGCCTGCTGTACTACCATATGTCAGACGAGTCACAGACAAGGTTGGCTACATCTTGAAGCGAGCTTCCATTAAAACATACTACAAGCCGCCGAAGAAGATTAGTCAATTTTTACCATCCGTCAAGTGTAATATCCCTCTACAAGATGCAGGAGTGTACAAGTTAGATTGTGAATGTGGTCTCTCTTACATAGGTCAAACAAAAAGATCCATAAAAACCCGCGTGAAAGAACATATAGCTGACGTGAAGCACCGACGCTCCGGGAAGTCTGCAGTCTGTGAACATGTTCAGGATCGTCCCTACCATTACATCAGATTTGATAAACCACAAGTCCTCGCAAAAGAACACCGATTCCTACCAAGGATGATACGTGAGGCTATTGAAATTAAAAAACATCCTAATTTCAATAGAGAAGATGGTTGGGTGCTGCCATCTGCTTGGGATCCTATAATTAACAAAATTAAACCCAAACCCAAGCATACCACTGCAAGACTTCAAGATACTGTAAGTTCGTTTTGCGTAAATCGGACCAAAAATTAATATTCAAAAACTGAAGGTAGCTGGATTAACAATGACATTGGGACGTCAAACATCTCAGTCCTCCCCGTGACCATGGGTGCTGTAAAGCACCCGAAACGTCGGGATAATAATAAAAAATAAATTAAAGTAATTAAACGCGATAAAATCCGTAAATAATGGTTTTATTCAATCTGTCTCATTTTTCAACTTATAAATTCGGGAAAGTACTTTGCCGCGAGAAAGCCATCGTACCTCTGTATGAAACAAAAGCGATTTTGATAATTTCTTGGAGAACGCGCAATAGATCGTCAGGCAGAGACTTCGTCATAAGAGCTTCCTTATGTAAAAGACAATGCTGTTTTTGAACATTAGGATTTTTTTTCAGCAACCTTAGCTATAAAGCCTTTAACCTTCCTGTCATAGCCGAGAAAGAAAAATTCGTCCGTTACTATAAATATTTCTTCACCAGTTGTATGGCTAGGTAGTGGCAGACAAAATAAAAAGTCCTCTTTTAATTCACATCCATCAATGTATCTAACATTTGAGAAGAGATGCGCGTGACCTCTGATGTCAGTGGACTCATCAACTGGGAGCGCAAAAACTCCACTAACTCTCAATTTTTCAATCAACGTCGATTTAATGTCATTAAACATGTCATTGATTAGACGTGAAATCGTTTCTGCCGATGCAGGTATTTTTGATCAATGCAATTTCTTAAGCAGCTTCTTGGCTACTCATTATCTTGACAATTTCTTTGCAGACAGGTAAAACTAGGTAGTTTTACTACAGTATCAGCAAGAGAGTACGGCTTTTTAGCTTTAACTAACATATTAGCGACTACGTAGCTTGCTTTTTGTGCTTTGTATGAGGTTTTGAAAGACGAACTCATGAGATTTAACTGCTTCTTCGATTGGTCCTTCAAACGTTGAAAATACGTTTTGTCTTTTTGGGCTACTGATGGGTGTTTAGTAGTTAAATGTCGTATTAGTTTACTGTGCACCATCGAATTATTACCCAACGTTTCTCCGCAAACAAGACATTTTGGGGTAGGACAAGTAGTTCGTCTCCGCAATATGTAAAACCGTATTTTATGTAGCTTTCGTCATATTTTCGATGAACAATTTTGGGTTTCTTTTTCATTGACTCTTTTTCTTCTTCATTTCTTTTACCTGACAAACTTATACTACGTTTAATGAATTTATCCATTATTTTAATACTTATTTTACGCTTAGAATAATAAGCACAACAATACGCGACGAAACAAAAGCGTGCGGTGAATTTTAACGGCGCACTCGTACTCATATGGAATGGACAGACTGGTGAGCCAGAGAGTTCAGGTAGCGGGGCGGGGAGCCTCCGTCCCCGCTTCCCGCGACGCGCCAGCCGCCGCCGCCCGCGCCTTACGAAACCACAGAATTAGATGAACAGAACAAAACGCCTCGCTCGTGCGCTCGCGTGATTTGTGTAGGTATTTTACTTACCCTTGCTTACTTACTAAAAATAATTTTATAAGATAAACCTATTTTTCCACGGCACACTTACTAATGATCACGGTACACCAGTGTGCCGCGGTACACACTTTGCGGAACACTGCCCTAATATACGTGTGGCGGCTTGGGATTATTTTTAAGTTATATGGTGGACTGTATTGAATTAATATCCCCTGAAACGTTCAGTTACCGCAATCACAAAATTACACCAAGAAAACAATAAAAACTACTCACGGTCTTACTAGCCAGCTTCCCAAGATCGGCAAAACGTTGACAGCTCCTGGTGGCTTCTTCTACACGGTAGAATACACTAGTAAGATGATTGTACACGGTACACTCTAGAGTAGTCCTTAATTTTGAGTTTTCGAAGCAATATGTTCACTCCACGTTAACACAAAGAGATGTAGGTTAATAATAATCTTCTTACGCGTCGTACCCTCCTTTTTATTCCTTTTTTGTCCGCACAGATTATAACAGCGCGTTATGCGTCACACGTTGCTACAGGTTATCACCGGCCCTCAGATCGTTGTAGATCATTGTACCTTGGTATAAAATTTGCGAGTTGCGGTTTATTACTGAACACACCCCCCACCGAAACCATCTTGATGGTTTCTCCAAAAAATAAGATAAAATTATAACTTAATCTAACTTAATCTCTATCAAGATAACGCTGAGACACAGAATGGTCTCAACGAGAAGGTTATTAATACAAGTAAGCTAATTTGCGTAAGGAAGAGGACTCAGTTTATTAACTGGTCTCTGTAAAGTACTCTTTTGGGTACGAAGCGTTACACAACGAACAATCCCATCTGGGCCGGGGTGAAGAGCCTCTATTCTACCCAAAGGCCAATTGCACGGCGGTATGTTATCAGTTTTTATAATTACAAGATCACCTATTTTAATGTTAGATCTATCCGAATACCACTTTGCTTTCTGTTGTAGCGTATTTAAATATTCACGACTCCATCTACGCCAAAACATTTGTGAACATTTTTGAATATATTGCCAACGTGACAATCGATTCATCGTTATGTCTTCTACATTATACTCAGGTACCGCCGTTAACGCTTTTCCTATTAGAAAGTGTCCCGCTGTCAGTACGTTAAATTCATCCGGGTTATCACTAGCTGGTAACGGGCAGAGCGGTCGCGAGTTGAGAATTGCTTCTACTTTACAAAACACTGTGGTGAGTTCCTCGAACGTCAAACCTTTTTCTCCGACGGCTCGCGCTAAGAGGTACTTGGCGGATTTAATTCCGGCTTCCCAGAGCCCACCCATATGTGGTGCGCTGGGGGGATTAAATTTCCATATAATTTGTCGCTTTGAGCAACCCTCTAATATATTACTTTTTTGCTCGAACATAAACCTTTGTATTTCGGTTAAATGCTTACTAGCCGCGATAAAATTAGTACCGCAATCCGAGTAAAGAAAAGAACACACACCTCGTCGCGCTGCAAATCTGTCTAAACACGCGAGGAAACACTCCGATGACAACGACGATAAGACCTCGAGGTGTACAGCTTTTGTCGAGTAACAAATAAATAATGCTAAATATGACCGTTCAATCCCAGCGTTTCGTCGTAAACTTTCTTTTGTAAAGAACGGACCACCGAGGTCTACCCCTACATGCTCAAAAACTTTATTAGGTATCAATCGAGCTGCTGGCAAAGGTGCCATCTCAGGCTGCAAGAGTACGGGATTGTGTTTAAAACAAGTTTTGCATTTGGACAAAACTGACCGAATAATGCGACGGGATGCTAAAATCCAAAAGTTTTGATTAATAATGTTTTGTAAGGTGCGTGGGCCTACGTGTAAATATTTTTTATGTAAATATTCAATAAGTAATTGTGTAAATCTACTATTTTTAGGTAATAAACGGGGATGTTTCGCGTTATAAGGTAAAACTGAATAATTTATTCGACCCCCCCACCCTGAGGTATCCGCGATCGTCAATAAACGGAGATAATTTTCTCAACGACGGAATGTACTTTGTGCCCTTTGACAAATTATTTATTTCATTTGCAAAGTATGAACGCTGTACTAGTTTAATTAAGACGTCTTGAGCGGTATTCAATTCGTCAGTCGTCAGTATGGATTGCTTAGAGTGACCGGATTTAAATCGGAACCATCTCAATA